TACATTCATACGCAGTTGTTTGCAAAGTCGGACACAATTGAAGACACCGATCGCCACACGATGTTGCATAACTCCTCCCGTTTCTTCCTTATCTCCATGCAGCGAGGCACAACCCGATCCCGGCACAACTTCATCCGGTCATGGTGGGCCGTGAACGTTCTCCGCTGCCCGGCCACCACGAACAGGGTAGGAGAGAGCCTTTTCTCAATGAGGTAAGGTCCCTTCCACATGGGGCACAGCTTTTTGCACCGCCCTGGTGTAGCCCTCAAGTCTAACACATACACTGGTTGTCCTTGGTCCAAACTCTGGGATCGAGCACGGAGATCGTAATCCCTCTTCATCCTTTCTACTGAAGTTTGCAGATTACTCCGAGCTGCTGCATGAGCACTCTCCATAGCTGCTCGAAGCCCGGCAACGTACTCACTGGTGTCACCTTCTTGCGGGGAAGTTTCCGGCCCCCCGAACATCAAGTCTGCTGGAACATTTACTTCCCGGCCCAGCATCAGGCGGTTGGCCGTGTAGCCGGTATGGCGGTTCACTGCAGACCTCATAGCTCCCGCCAGCTGTGGCAAGTATTCATCCCACGTGGTTTGAGACTTGGACATAATATAGCAGCGGATCATCTGCATCAGTGTCCGGTTGAATCTCTCTACCTGTCCATTTGAAGAAGGGCGGTAGGGGGTCGTCCTGGTCTTTGTTAACTGCAATAGCTGGCAGATTTCCTGGAACAGTCGACTCTCGAAGTTCCTGCCTTGGTCCATATGGATTTGGAGTGGGAACCCAAACTGGACAAAGCATTCATTCACCGCTGCCCTTGCTGTCACTTCCGCTTTTTGGCTCGAGAGTGGCACACACTCCACCCATTTGGTGAATTGGTCTACCATCATGAGGATGTACTGGTTTCCTGCTTTGCTCGTGGGCAAGGGACCAATAAAGTCCAGGTGCACCCTCTCCATTGGGGCTCCCGCATGGAATGAGGTCATCCTCGACCGGGCCTGCCGTGATGGTTTCTTGCTCCGGTTGCAAGCTGAGCACTCTGACACGTAGTCCCTGGTGTCTTGCCCGCACCGGTGCCAATGGTACCTCTCCTTTATCCTCTCCTTAGTCTTAGTCACTCCCAGGTGTCCGCTGGATGGGATGTCATGCATCTGATATAGCACCATTCGCTGTAGGGTTCTGGGGATCAGCAGTTTTTCAGATTCATCCACCGCCGGAATCCCCTTCCTCACCAGTACTCCAACCTCGTTTCGTTTGAATAGCTCCCTATCCACCCAATAGGACTTGGCGGCCGGGCTAGACAAATACAGTTCTGAGTCTGATGGTACTTAACCCCCGTCCACCCATCTACGCAGTCTTCATCTTGAGCGGTTTTCAGTGCAGTCAGGGAGCCGTCCCAAGAGTTCCCGTCCCCCTTCTGTGGGCACTCTGGTACTGTGAGGGTCCTTACTGAGAAGGTTGTATCAGTTCTACACACTTCAAGGGTATGCGCCTGATCCTCCGTCTGACTCCCGCCCTCTCCATTGGCATCCTCCCCGGTGGGGGCCTCTGTCAGGTGGTTGCTCTCCTCCACCACTGTCAAGGCCCTGACCGTCCTAGGCAGGCCCGCCAACGGGACCACATAGTCTACCTCTTCATGGAACTGTCCCCACTGTTGGTGTGCCTTCTGGCAGTATCGGCACCCCCCACAAGGAAGTTCCTGAAGCTCCACGAATCGACGGTAGTTGTCACACTCCACTTCATCGGCCAAACGGGACAAGCCGTCCGCATTCTGGTGTTTGGCTCCTGGACGGTGCTCCACCCTTAGGTCATATTGGCTCAGTTCCTCTAACCAGCGAGCAAGCTGCCCTTCAGGTGCTCTGAAATTCATTAGCCATCTCAAGCTGTTATTGTCCGTCTGTACCCGGAAATGCCTCCCTAGAAGATAGTGACGGTACTGCCTTGTGAAACGTACCACTGCCTATAACTCCTTGTGGGTTGTGCAGTATCGCCGTTGTTCTGGAGTCAAGGCTAAGCTGCTGTAGCTGATCACTCGCTCCCGACCTTTTTGTATCTGCAGGAGCTCGGCCCCGATAGCCACGTCTGAGGCATCTGTGTCTAGGACGAACATGTCCTCCTTGTTCGGCATGCCTAACACCGGTCAACAATGCCTGCTTCAAGTCCAGGAAACCTTGCTCCTGCTCCTCTCCCCACTCGTATGTTTTTTTCCCCGTAATAGCGTACAAGGGCGTCGCCGTCCTGGCATAGTCTTTGATAAAACCCCGGTGGTAGTTGGCGAAACCCAGGAACCTCTCCACCTCGCGGGTAGTGGCTGGTCTGGGCCAGTTCTCTACCGGTCCCAAGCTAGTAGGGTTCACGCGGATCCCCTCGCCGCTGACTACCCTCCCAAGGAATTCAATCTCCCGTTGAATCAGCTCACATTTTCTGGGCTTCAACTTCAAATTGTATTTCCGGAACCGCTGCAGTTCTAACTAGGATATGCAATTTCGCTCGCACTGCCACACCACCACAGTGCCGAGCTGAGAAAGCTGTGTGACCAGTAAGTCCCCAGGGGAGCACGCGGGTAACCTAAATACCCTAAAAAGCTCCACCAACGCTACTTTTAGTACGGTAACTAGTCCTCCCCTCTCCGATATAGGTACGGAGATACTCTAAAACCCTTATAACTGTACTATAAACCACTTAAATTCTGTTACACCATGCGGTCTCCCAAGCACAGGAAAACAGAAAAGTGACGAGCGGTGACCCGAGCGAGAAAATGGGATTCCTCGCTCAGAATCGTTGTTCACAGCGCCACTGTAGTGATCACTAGCTCCACTACGTTATTAGATCACTGTGGAGTTAATCGTGGCTCGCACCCTGTAAGTATTGAGGCCTAAATCTACGTTTTTTATGTAGACCCCTGAATCAGGCAATGTTATACTCACAAGATGGCTTCCACGAACTCGCTGTGGCGATCGGCTGCCTCCGGCACTTTCCGTCGGGACCCCCAACTTCCGGTTGACAGCTCCGATCACCACAATGATGTATCCAAGGGCTAAAGGAAATCGTAAAGATATAAAACCCTAACGCTAACCCTACACCTTACCGTAACCCTAACCAAAAGTAACCTGGAGTGCTATCAAATATGGCGGAAGGTATCCGGTATTCTGTAGTTTTACCAAAATATATAATAATAGACAATGTGACCGATGCCGATCTCAAACTCCTGCCAACACATTGAGATGCGATTCCTAACGTCGTTGTACGGAGTTGTTCGCGTGTATTGAAAAGGCGGCGAACGGGAGGCGGTCAACTCGTGACCACTAGAAGGAGTGAGTGAGAGTGAGTTTAGTCTTACGCCGCACTCAGCAATATTCCAGCCATATGGCATAGTGGCCTTTTGTGGCAAGCATAGGTTGCTGAAGACCTACCACTAGAAGGAAAAACACTGATAACAAACGATCGTTGAAGGACAGTTTGCGATTTTTAATAGTAATGGCATATAATACATGTGTTTGAGTATTAAAAGAAAGGATCATTGTTAAATATGGTAAAATAGTTACATAATTAGGTGGCGAACGTATTCTATAATCGCAACTGACGTCACCAGTTTTCGATGTGTTGAAGGACATGATTCAGAAGGAGGAGGCTGATCTCGCCGGCTTGGTAATAGACTATTTGAAATACATGTGGGATGTGGCACGTTTAATGGGGAAAACCGTACCGGGAAATCAGAGACTTTTCAATTTGTTCCCATGCCTAAAGCACCGCGAAAGCACTACGTCATATGGAACAGGGTGGTAACTCTAAGCGTCAGTTTAGTTTAAAGCCGCACTCAGCAGCATTCCAACTATATGGCGGTGGTCTGTAAATAAATGGACGCTCACAATGTGAATCATAGGGTTTCATTATTGGCCTGATCTCTCTCAATATATATTCAGAGTTTACTATTTCCAATTTTCTTAGTGGTATGTAGTCAACCGATATTTGTTTATAATATCAACGTTAAGTTCCCATGGACCCTAGTATGGTGATCTATCTTCAGTGAGTGAGTGAGTCTAGTATTACGTCGCACTCAGCAATATTTCAGCTATATGGCGGCGGTCTATAAATAATCGAGTCTGGTCCAGACAATCCAGTGATCGACAGCATGAGCATCGATCTGCGCAATTGGGAACCGATGACATGTGTCAACCAAGTCCGCGAGCCTGACCACCCGATCCCGTTAGTCGCCTCTTACGACAAGCATAGGTTACTGAAGATCAGTATTCTAACCCGGATCTTCAAGGGTGTACATGTGTAACAAGTACAAACAAGTGTGTAACAAATACAAGTATGTAACAAGTACAAAATATACAAATAGTAAATATTCTGGAAAAGCAATCTATTTATGTCTTGTCTTATGGTCCTGTTTGGAATCAATTAATAACACCTTAAACAATAATACAATTGTCAGTGAAAAGGTTTACACTTTCACAAGTCCATGATTTATTTATAGTCACCACTTGATCATGGGTCAAAAGTAGTTCCTATGCAAATTAGCCAAGTCGTAATGAGGTCAGGTCTGCTGTCTTGTCCTTGGTTTTTATTGGCTGAAGATGTGCAGCATCTTGATTGGATGTTGAATTTAGTTGCATTTGGAAAGTGTGAAGTTTGTTCACTTGCTGTCTTTCTCCCAACCTGGCAAGGTGGTTTGAAAGTCATGGGTGGTGGATTGTGACTTTGGTGAATTACAGGTTAGTTACATTTGGTTTTATATAAAAGGAATAAACTACAAAAATATGTTTAATTGTTGAAAGGTTAATTCAGTATTTATTGTAACTGAATTTATGGCTTTAGGTGGAGGTATATTTTGACCTATGGTTAGAAATTGTTGGTGTCAATAATTTCACTTACAATTGATTCAGATTAATGTTTGAGTCCAAACAGTTTGTACGTTTACTTTGCTGGTGAGAATTAGCATTTCCATGCTAATTAAAACATACATATTTTAGGTTCTTGGTGTTTTGTTGGTGCCTCACAACATGTGGCCAGTTTGAAGCAAGTTGTCCCATAGATGGTAAGACACGTTGATGTTTCATTGTTTTGCAGATGCCAAAGGTGTTCCATAATTCCTAAGGATCTTAATATGAACCTGAACCATTTTTTTTGTGATGTCAATTTGTTTTGAGTTATTTGTATATGTTCAATGGTAGAGCTGTGATTGTTAATTATCTGAACAATGTGCAATGAAATGAATGAATGTGATAAAATGGGTATTTTGATGGAATGTTATATATTCATATACATTGTTTCAGACTTGTATTATTATATACAAACTACAGTAATAAAAAGGAACTTGCAGCCTCAGCGGAGTTGTCATTGTGAAAGAGCCATCCCCGTTTCACATGCTACATGAATCAGGAAGCTTGTCGAATGTATATGATACGCTACCCCATTGTAGTTTGTTTAGCTTTAATTTAAAACTTATATACTCTCACATGTCACTCGCGTTCATTAATTCCAGGTGGAGGCAATGTCCAGTCCCACCTACAGCAGACTGTAGCCGGACTTTAGTCTCAAGGGTGGTCGGAGTCAACGAAGCGCACTTATAAGACTCAGGTGAAGTGTAGAAGGACTTTTGTGACTTAACTGGAGGGAATCTGCGGCCGTATTTATCAAACAACTGAAGTCATTAAATAAACTTAAGTTAGTTAAAAAACTTAGTTTTCTCGTTTTTTTGTGGTAAAACTTAAGTCATATTTATCAACAGACTAAGACTAACGTTTTGTCATTTTTTTACCTAACTATTAAGACTCACCTTGCTAGGCTTAAATCAACTTGTTTTGACTAAAGTCATGTAAGACAAAAAGGCTGCCACACGTAATCCAAGGGTATTTAATGAAAGAGACGTTCTGCATATATTAGATGATAATGAACTGTTACAAAGGTACAGATTTGACAGAAATACTATTGTTTTCATCTGTCATTTACTCGAACACGAGCTATGTCCCGTAACGGAGCGGAGTTATGCCGTGTCCTGCGTTACCAAAGTGCTCGTCACTTTGAGGTACCTTGCAACTGGGAAATTTCCGATGTGTAATGGTGATGACCATACACTGAGTCATCCCACTATCTCAAGAGTCATCGTACAACCGCTTGAATCGCTCACAAGTCAACGTATGGTCCGCAGATATGTCACCTTTCCCACTCAAGCCCATGAACTTAGACGACACCAGCGTCGATTTTATCACACTGCAAACTTCCCGGTGTAGTAGGTGTAATTGATGGCGCTCACATTCAAATTCAGTCCCCATCCGTGAATGAGAATGAATTCATTAACAGGCATCACTACCACCGTATTAATACACAGATCGACAGCGACGACCGGATCATCAACATCGTAGCAAGTTGGCCTGACTCAACACACGACTCGAGCATGTTGGCAGCAAGCGGGTTATGTCGGATGTTTGTGGGGAACCAGTTACCCGTAAGTTGCCATCTGCTTGGCGACAGCGGCTACCCATGTTGGAGGTGGATTTAGCACCATTTTGGCGTCCCCTTCCTGGATTACAGACCAACTACAACAGGTATAATTATTAAAGCTTTCGAGGTACCTTCGGGTAATAACCAATAGAGTGATTTCCCTTGGTTGTGCGAAATACAATCTTCAACATAAAAACGAAATGGAAGAGTTACATATGTTTGCTAAATGCATTTTTCGGGCAGCATGCCGTGGAATGTCTACTTCTGTGGCCGTAAATACATCTTAGGTGGCTTATCAATGAAACAGTACGTATGGGCAAATTATGTGTACTATCATGATATCTTCATTTTGTTTCAATACCACCTATAAATATTATGTGATCATCTAGTGATTTCTGTTGTATTATTTTGCAAATTTTCAGATCATATAAGAAAAGTAGAAGATGTGTTGAAACAGGAATTGGGCAACTGAAGCGGCGGTTTCATGTGATGCATAGTGAAATCAGACTTTCTTCGCAGAATGCTTGCAAGGTATAGCATTACAAGAATGTTTTTTTCTGTGGACTCAATTGAAGTAACAAGTTTAATTTTTATAGAATTTAAATACTTATGTAATTGCCCCAATAACACCCTCGGGAGCTATTATGCATCGGGTGGTTAAAGAAACCAAAACAATTAATAGGATAAACAATAATTGTATTTAATGAAGTCATTAACAATTCTCAAACATGAATGTAAAAATATCTATACTTTTTTCAGTCAGTCCTAACAAAAACAATATGTACAAGTCAGAAATGTGAGATCTCAATTACTGTCAATAGGACCTCACTCAATATTGACAGATAATTATTGTTATATAAAGTTCAAATGTAATACATAGTTATCTCAAGAATCATATCTAATAAGTTTAAACAAGCAAATATGAGAGGAATGAGTATACATGTACTGTGACCCTAGGTTTATAAACCTTAGCGAGGAACATTTTACATGAGATGGTTTTTTTAAATTTAAAAAAATATATATATTCAAATATCTGAATAGTGGCATTTTCTGTACAGCTGCTAAATTAAAGTACAAAAATTGCCAGGATTAAATACTTTTAGTGTCAGATTAGTAAGGGTAAGGACTTTACCAACAAATTATTAGATGTGAAACACATTTCTGAAACGATAATGATGCCAGAAATATAAATTAAAAAATAACTTTTTTTAGATGAAGGCCACATTAATTGATAAATACCAGTTATTTGATGAAAAATGACCATCAGTTAAAATAGAGTATCAAAACTTGAAACTTTTAACCATAAATTGTATATTTATGTGGAATGATGTAAACCTTTTCTCCCTAGGCCTCTCTTGTCCATCCTCACAAGCACTCCATGCTACATTCATTATAAGACAGCTTCCTAGTTGTCATGCAAAGCATGCAGCATGCGGCACTAGCTACCCAAGTGACCACCCCTGAATCATCATTCTCATTCTTGGAGCCACTGGATAATCTTAATCGTGGATAATCTGCATAGCGGGGAGGTTGGGCGAGAATCCATCGCGTGGGATAGGATAAGTATATGAATATACAATTTATAGTTAAAGTTTTCAAATTTTTAAACTTATCCTACTTCACGGTATGCACTTGTCCCACGGTCGGACGCAGAAGCCCTATGTCTTGACTGTGCGAACAGTAGAACTGTGTAGACTGGTAACAGTAGATAGCGATTCACAAGGAAGGCCCGTTACGACTAGCGCAACTCCTATGCTTGTGATGAGTTCCCCTGAACTCCTTGGGTCACTAAGCACAACGTCTCCCAGGGACATGGGTGCTCCCGAGCGATGTTGTGTTCGGCCGAAGAGTGAGTGAGTGAGTTTAGCTTTACGCCGCACTTAGCAATATTCCAGCTATATGGCGGCGGTCTGTAAATAATCGAGTCTGGACCAGACAACCCAGTGATCAACAGCATGAGCATCGATCTGCGCAATTGGGAACCGATGACATGTGTCAACCAAGTTAACGAGCCTAACCACCAGATCCCGTTAGTCGCCTCTTACGTCAAGCATAGTTGCGTTTTGTGGCAGGCATGGGTTGCTGAAGACCTATTCTACCCCGGATCTTCACGGGTCAACCTCAGAAGAACAGAAGGACGCAGCTCAGCAAGTAAGACCTCACTTTGCCACAATTTTCAAGGTACCCTCGTAAATTGAAGTCATAGACAATAATCGGGCAAGCCCCTGCTTCGAGAAGACCCCCACAAATGGGGGCGGGGAGTTCCCAGTGGTGCCCTTGTTTCGACGAGTCACTTCTTGGGGACCCCACTCCCAACCCCGGAGTCGGACTTGGGTAGACGTCTGGAAGAGTTGCCACGAGAGGACTTGCTACCTCTACCTCGGGACGACTGGCCACGAAGATCCGGATGAGATGGCACGAAACGAGGAGTCAGTCTCTGTTTCAAGGAATCTTGCAGATGGGATTTCTGGAGTTTCAATAATTCCACCGAAATTTGAAATTGAGTATCCCGATCCACCTTCAACGAAACCTCCAAATAATGATTCTGAAGCCCACCGTTGACGGAACAGTTCAGTCTTAAACCTGTCATCCCATGAAGACAAGTGTAGCGGGCCACGACGCCGAACTGCCATGAGATAACCAAGGAAATGACCTAGTCCAGTACGATCTGAAATTGGTCCAGTAAAAGGGACATACAGCCCCAGCAGCTGTGTCGATGTAAAACAGTTCTCTGTCCTCAACTAAAAAAGCTGAGCGAGTCCTTTTCCTGCAAAGTGTTTTGGACATCTTCATCCACCGAAGAGGCAGTAGCCAACGACTGGAAACCATGGGAGTGAGACGCCGATAAGGAGAATCTAGGTGAAGACAGACCGTCCTTAATCCTCTTAAGGATTTTAAAGGCATGATCCAAAGACGTTGCTAAATGAGCAACACGAGGCCGTGGTGGAAGTGTAATGACAATGACAATACTTAATTACCCGTGAGGGAATTTTTGTGTAAAGTACAGAGCTCAAACATTGATAAAATGACTAAATTATTTTCATACAATAAATAACACTCATATAACACGCTAGCAAGGTAAGACAAACGCTAGGAGTCATTGGAAAGAATAATACTGGCAGGAACAAATGGCACGATTTGATTTAAGACGGGGTAAATTATAACGGCGCCCAGAAGGCAGTAATTTATAGTCATAGTGGATGGGATGTTCTGGATCAGATATAATCTTACGGCTGACTTGAGTCAAGATGCCAAGTCCCGTTGTCTCATGGAGAAAGAATCCGCTAAGTCCTCCGCGTTCCTCCTGGAGTTTCTCCACTGTCCATGCTACGACTTGAGGTTCGTCAACAAAATCCAGACTTCCCTCTGGGGAAGCAATATCCAACGTACCGAGAGAAATTGCTCGATGTTTTCTTGCCGGACACTGGCAGTCATCCTCCCAAGCTGCAGCCACGAGATGTCTCTTGCAGCACCACAGGCACTTTCCTGCTACACAGCCGCTGTTGTGTAATGATGACAAGACGCCTCTGTCCTGTGTTTTTTTAAGACTGCGCGAAATACTACATTCATATGGTGTCACTGTGGACATAACTGGTCACTCTTTCAGGCGCGGTGGTGTAAGTTGGGCATTCAATGTTGGACTGTCAGGCGAACTCATTCAGGACATAGGCTTTTGGAAAAGCTCAGCATACTTAAGATACCTAGTGTTAAGCTCTCAGCGTAAAATGAAAGCACTAAACGTTTTTTTGGCAATAATATACCGTGTTGACCTTCCTATCTTTGAATAGATTATTAATGACTCACCCAGATATTTTTACTTTTTCTTCATACTTCCTTTTCCCTTTCCAACTTTAATGCACTGGGGTTTGGGGACTCAATTAAAT